ACACTATACATGGGCTATGACCTACATTCTTTAAGGGTAGATTCTACACTAAATACGCTCGTCAGAGATAATCTTCATATAACTTATTATCTCAATGAATAAATAAATTTCCATTGATGTTTTGTATTGCCAATTGTTCGACCTGTAATAATTTATTTTGAGTATATACTGTAGAAGCCAATTAGTTCTCCTGAATCCGCCTTGTGGGTATTAGAAAAAACATTTCTTGTGTATAAAGCTATGATGGGGGCATTGACTGGATATTGCGTTTTTAGTGGGAACCAATTATCCTCTGAATCCCAATAACGTGTATTACATTAAGCGAGATACTCAGGTAGATGCTCAAGTAGAGGATATTAGGGAAAATCTGAAAATACAATACAATTCGGTTGACGCCTATAATTTATTATTGTTGATCCGGAGGTAAAAACATAGAAAAACCTGTACACGAGCATTTTTTGACTTCCAAACTAGCGATTTGTGGCTAAATTATTAATATATTTTTTTTTTTAGAATTCAGGCTTCAACTACTAAGGTCTTTAGCCTGCTACTGTGTGGGGAGGTACGGTTGGTTGGTTACACGTATGGATGGGTAGCAAGGATAAAAATCCTGGATGGTCATCCATCCAGGAGCTAACAACGGTGGCCGGTACGTAAGCTCAGAGCGTTTCCACAGATTAAGCGAACGACCACGCCACACCGCGCCACAAAATTATTATTGTACAATAGTTTTTTATAAATACATCGTATTGTACGTCGACATAATATTGGAAACCGTACACGGGTTTTTAGCAAGACATCGATCGAAATTAATAAATAATAACAATTATTACTGTCCCGCAGCCTGCTCACTTCATAAATCGATGTACGCTAAATGATTTTGTTCTTTATTGAACAATAAAAATGTGATACAATATCACACAATAGCGTTGGTTGATCATGCATTGTATTATCAATATAATATTTTATTAAATACACAGTATATCAAATTAGATTTTTTTATTATTAAGTTTATTTAGATAGGGGTTTTGTTTGACATGTGAGATGGCTTGTTTGGAATTTGTATTTATTTCAAGACTACCGTATTGAAGATAAAAAAGCAATTGTCGAAAAGTTAAGACTTATGGCTAGCCCCGCATGTTATTTGGACATATCTTAGTGGTGACTACGTATAGTATTATACTTTAGAATGTGTCGTCTCAGCGATAAAATAATAATATTGTATATAAATTATACATAATAGGTACTTCTCATTACACACTAATGGATGATAATATTATTACTCGTGACCAATTTTGACTCGTCTAAAGCAGTCGATTTAAATAATATTATAAACCAGTAAATAAATATATGTAATATAATTGTACGAGATTTTTACAACATGTACAGTTAGTTATATTAATGGCGGTTTAATTGCAGATTACTTTGATCCTTATTCTAGAAAAAATTATATTTTAACATTTTACACATCCGACTGACGGACCGAATAGATATCGACAAGCCACGGGCGACGGCATGAGATATTTTTAATAAAACGGTCAATGCAGTCCACGTTCAAATTTAAAAATTGTAAAATAAAACATAAAATCATTCAAAAATACCATTTTTTGATTTGGGCTGAATTCATAATTAAACGTGTATACCAATAATTAATAATTATTAATATTATGTAATAATATAATAAATAAGTAATAATAATGAATAGGTACCTGCCTAATAATTACTGACTACTGTTATTATATAGACTATTATAAACATAGTGTAATCGCTTTAGAGGTGTGTTATAATTTATTAAAATAATCGTGTTTTTTCTATATTTAAAAAAGTACTATCACATATTACTTGTATACATTTTTATTTTTTTGTATACGAATAACGCGAAATCCGTATACAGCGCGCGCGACGTCCACACCTTAGCCCATGGGCGTAGGTACGTTATTTCCATTAAAGATGATGGTATCTTGCAGAAATATTATTCAACCAACTCCTGTCGATACAAGACGCCAAAAATCGCTTCGGGACTATAATTGATAATTAGACAAGCTACCTACGAAATGATAAATATTTATACACCTACGCGGAATTGGAAGTTATCAACTATATTATATTATTAAAGCTTTGTAGAATGGAGCGCAGATGCGCAAAATGAGTAGAAATATAAAATTACCGTTGGGACAATCCGTAAAACACAAACGCATCATGTATGTAAATGCATATTCAGTCTACACTCTACAGACAACGAACACGTGCAGTCTTTGATTCGAAGCGTCTGCCGATATACCAATGACAATTTCATTCGTTCATTACATCTGTCGTCGTCTAAACGAACGACCTATAAAACATTTAAACACAACAAACGGAATACATCAAACGTCTGTAATAATGACATTAAAATGTGTGTGCTCCTCAATTACGCACACGTGTATCTGAAAATATTGTTTATAATGTATGTATTTCAATACAATACCTACAATCTATATAATAAAGTGTATACTTTATAGTTTATATGTACACATGACTTACGCAGTAAATATAATAATACATAATACTAAATCGAGTTATTTTTAGACAAAAATGATCAGCATGCCTGCATATTTTATTGCCGGGAAAATTAATGTTGAACAACAGAACAAAACAAAAAGAACCCTTTTGAAGTATTTTCAGGGGTATCTAGGTGTAATAATAAACCAACGTGCGATGTCCGGCTGCGATACACAATGTTTTCATGTGAAACTAAATAAAAATAAAAAACAACATTTTATTATTCGTAGTCCGTAGCGACGTATAATTAATATCTCTACCTACCTATAAAAGGTTGACAGATCGTCTAAAATTATTCAACAGGTTTTGAATAATATTGTTTAAATTACACTCAACCATCCTCGAGTATACGAAACGTAGAACTTATTACATTAGCGGACATGACAGAATTTGATTTGCCCGATAAAAACGGACCATACCGTCATGTTTTTTTTTCGAGAATACAATAATTCCGAACGAGTGAATATCCTTATATTTATCTGGTAGTCTGCATAAGTACCAACGAAGAAAAATCTGTCCACGCCATAGTAAAAATCCGTGAATTTTGTACGGGAGTTGCAGATTTCGAATAGGTACTAAAAAAATATTATAATAATATGCGTACGTCGGTACAATGTGACGCGTATAATATACAAACAGAAATTCTTCGTTATCCGTAAACACCTGCTGTACAATTCTTCAGGACGACGACATCCTGCAGCGAGCCGTTTCCAGAGACCGCGTGTGCGGACATACGGAGCGATATCGAATTACCGGAATAACAACGACAGGACACAATATAATAAAATAAGTACAACGTGTGCGAATCGCAAATATAAGGATTCGGCCGATCGGAAGCGTAATCGAGCGGAAACCGTAGTACGTGCAGCGTTTTATACGCGAGAGCTTATATACCTATCCGATATTAATATATCATACTTGGATAAGTCGAAAGAAACATTTTTTAATGAAATGCTCTATATCGAAACGCGCTTGGTGTTTTTATCAACTCATTTTTAGATAATACAATTTGGAATATATAGGTACATAATGATAATAATATTGTTGTACATTTTCGACGACCGTTTGATATTCATTTTCGACAATGGGTCTACGAAATACGCTTAATACCTATCATACAACACGATCGGACGACGAAATATATTATACGATAAACACAATAGTACCTATATGTGAATACGTTGGTATGAAATTCTTATTGAATAATACACGGGTATATAGTAATAATATTACAGCCGACAGAGCAAAGGTAGTTTTTACGACGATCGTAAAACCGACGGTGGACGGGAAAAATGAGCGGAAAAAAACAACGTCCGACCCTTTTTATACCTGCACCGATCGTGTGCAGGCGTGCAGCATGCTGACGGGTCCTGTGGCGGCGGCGGCAATGGTCTTTTGTGTCGATCCAAGAGGGGTTGTTACCGCCACCGTCGACGACGCCATTTACGGACGTTCTCTCCAACGTTTCGATATAATAAACATATAATACATACGTGTTCCAGGAATGCACCTCACAATTGTCTTTTTGCACGCCGAAAAGGTCGTACCTACAAGTGATCTATGGTATAGAACCTACACGTGTTAGTCTGGTATAGGTCCAAAGATATTTTCGTATTATTAAACCCACACGCGAATAGGAAATGTCTATACAGTATGCACTCTATAATCGTTAGTCGCCCTTTGATTCAACATCGTGTAATTCGAACCAACTAGTTGATTTCTGAGAAAACCTTTTAAACATCGTTTGTCACTATGACCACATCAAAAACTAAATTATTCAAACGCATTGGGAAAAACGTTTCCTCTAGCAGCGTTCTCGGTCAAGAACACCGAGCGTGGCCGACCGTGTCACTAAGCAGCACGAAAAATTAACATAAAATTTGCATTTTACAGTAAATAATATTAAAAACGACCATCCACTGGTGCAGGAATAAATGATAATATACCTAGACAAACAATGAACCTGACAAAAATACAAACCTAAAAAAAAAATTACCTCTATAATATAAGACTTATATAACCGTGTTATTGTATTATAGTACGTATGTATAAGATAACATACCACACGATAGAAGAAAACTGTTGGTCAGGGGTTTTTAAATCAGTTTTTTTTTTTACTCGACCCGATAAAATTATACTGAAAAATCTTACTGATTGATGCTGAATTGCACATTTATATTCGCGACGACTCGAAATGCTGAAAAAAATTCAGTCTTTTCTTTCTCGCGAGTTTTTTTAACCTACGATTTGCCGCCGATGCCTTCCCACCAGGGGTGATTCTTTTGAGATTTGAGTTTTGGCTACGGACACAAAGTGAACCCCCAAACTCCAAAATACGACATAGATATAAGTATATTGCAGTCTATAAATGATTGCACTAGACGTTATTTAAGTCACTATCTAGTGCATATAGTGTAATAATAATATATGATTATAACGGCCGATGTTCAACAACTCACCTCAGCTGAAGCTCGGAGACAGGCAGCTCTCCGGCATACCGGGAAGTGACGCGGCGGTGCCGGCCACAGGATGAGGAGCACGACCAGCGTGACGAACAGCACGACGCACAGGAGGGCCGCGGCCACAGCCACGGCCAGTCCCGTTCTGGAGAAGCCGGTCTTGTCCCGGAGCTTCTGCTCCAGGCTAGTGGCGGCGGCGAGCGGGTGGAACTTTCCGTTGCTGGTGCCGTTGTTGTTGTCGGCGGACGGCGGTGTCGCGGTTATGGTGCCGTTGTTTTTTACGGTCGTCGGCGACGGGTCGGCGGATGCCTTCAGACAGGGTTCGCGTTCTTCGTCGGTCGCTGACAGGCAACCGCCACCGTCGGGTTTATCTTGCATCTCTAAGTTTTGACCGCTATTTTTGCGTTCTTGCGCCATTGTCATCGTCGTTGTCACTCTACAGCGGTGCACATCTGAAGGACCAACGGCTGGCTGACGAGTACGCGCACCACCGGCGACTTCGAAGGTGTCGGTGTGTGTGGTGTAACGGCGGAAAAGACGCTAACGAGTCGCGGTAGGAAATCACGGGGGAAAAACGGACGCACGCACTCGACCCTCAGCCGCAAAGATAATATAATAATACTGTTTGCGGCACAAAACTATAAAAATAATATTTTTAATAAACGATAATATTTTATCGAATTAGGAACCCAATCGCTCGCCGGGAGCAGGACGAAACGACAATAATATTATTATAATGGTACCCGTTGTCTGCCGTGGTGTATGCAGGAACGCGACTGGCACCGGTGGCGGCGACACACTACCAGTTTGGCGGGAAAATCAGTGTTGCCAACGCCCGCCCGTCGACGGACCATTCGACGAGGCTTCGCTGTAATAACAATATTATACAGTGCCCCGCTCATAAATTGTTGCCTGTGGCCAGTGGGACGTGGGTAAATAATAATATTAGAACATCGAAACACTCGCTTATAGTCACCTCCGTCGAATACTGGGCAGCAGCAGCCAGCAACTAGATGTTGTGGTCCAGTTGAGGTCTTAGAATACCAACTGGCAGAACCCAAATCGGTCAGCTGAATTAACTTGACAAATTTACGATTATGAATAGGATAAATTGGTATAATAAACAATAGTAAGTACTATAATCTTTCGATGGATTCCACCTAATCTACATCATAAGAATGAGAAATTTTGTGTTTGAGGGTAGTTTAAACTTTTACAGATTTTGATTTCAACATTTTTATAATATCATATTTCCGATAGTCGATGATATCATATCATAAAGAATCAAACTAATAAATACTTGTACATCTTTCACATTACCCCTGCCACCTCATTTGACACTCTCTAAATTCATTAAACTACCGAAGTACTCGATAAATCCCAATAGTCGAATATATTTTAAAAGTTAGATTAGGACCTAGTTTGGAGTGAATGACTTTATGACAATAAATCAGATAGATACCTAGTATAAATCGTGTATTAGCTCTAATAAAAAATAAATAATATCTAAAGTGCCTACAGTAGCCATTGAAGGGTGTCACCGAAGCTAATCACATCCTGCATCCTGCAGGCCAGTTGTTTTATATAGATACAGTTTTTGCCATATTGTATTATTAAATTGGATTTTTTTTACTATTTTAGATTTTTGAAGGGAGCGTATAAGTGTATTAAATGTATAATGGTGTGTTATTCTGTTTGTGCCCGAAGACACTTTTACTATTGTAGAAAAAATGCTAACATTTTCAACTTTGAGTGTGGTTTCTGTTAGCAAATTAGATCCAGTTAGTATTTTGAGGATCAAGAGTAAAAAATCACAGTGTTATTTTTCAATTTAATTAGGGATAAACAAGTGAAAAATGAAGAAAAAACGAGAATTTTTATGCAAAACCTATTTTGTTTTTTTGGTGTAACCAAAAATTAATAACCTTAGATAGGTACTTGCAATTTTCACCAAATGTGTATATTATCTTTTTCTCTGTATGATAATATTTTGACGCTTTTTGAGGTTTTTATTAACAAATATTAGACATTTTCGATTTTTTTATTATGAATTTACCTATTATTACACATTATTATTATAAAACATTACGATATTCGATATTTGTATTTCGTGCACCTAAATAAACTTAATTCCCAGGGGTAATGTGTATGTGCACATCATATATATTTATATTGTATATAATACATATTATTTTGTATATTTATATTTACAATGTTGGATGTGTTAAAGTAACTAAGTGTCTATAAGATAGGAACATCGTATTCTACGTGACTTGTCCGCGAATACGAACCAGCGCGAGCATATAAAGTAAAACCTTCACAGTTTAGCTAACCTGTAGATACAGACTATACAGACTATATAGGATAAAAATTATTTTGACGAAAAACAAACACAACCATTTATTACGCTCGACACGTTTAATCCTATCCAAATATCCAATTGAAATGCTCGAGCCGCGTTCTTCGACGAACTAAAATATATTATAATACTATAATGACATTCGTATGGAACCCGATGGTCATGCGTTTTATTGTTCACGTCGATCGTCTTCGTAGGTCGTAATGCATCTTGACATAAGTATACCTTATACATGAACCTATATAAAAAAATAATAAAAATATACTTAAATATAGGAAAACTGAACTAAACTTACTTATTATCAGGAATGATTTCGAAAGTGGATTTTTCGACTATACTAAATCTGTTTCAAACGTTAATATTCATACTAGTCAAAACATTTCCAGTAACCGATTTGCGTAATCTTACGGACTCCGAAGCGTTTATGTAAAGCCCTTCCCACACAAGTATGAGCCATTCAACTAAATAGATAGGACGAGGCTTATTTTCTTAAAGTAGGTACCTAAACTATTATTATAGCTATATTCCACAAACCGGTGATATTCTACTTATAAACCATTTGTCCGTAATGTCTTCCGTAATGTTTATTCCATAAAACTAACCGCCTTTGTACTTTCCGTCTTTCATAACATCAATTTATTATTATGAATTCTAACGTTTACAAATAAGGTAATGATGGTTAAAAATACAATTAAAAGTAATAACAAATTTTATCGTAACAGGTTGGGGTTAACAATTTAACATCACATAAAAGTTTAAATTAAATACATGCATGTATACCTATAGGTGGTTAGGTTATATATAATAACTTGCTCGTTAAGGATACAGTATAATCGATTTGTTATACTTAAAAGATTCGACTTTTCAACGGCCATAACTCAAAAAATTACCTATTAAATTAAACAAAATACATTTAGTGGTGGACATAATATTATGATGCCTATTAATTATTATTATACCAGACTTATTATATTATTAATCTTGAAAACGCAAAGCAATGAATATATTATAATGTATGGGTAACTCCTAGATTTTTTTCTTGAAATAATTTTTTGATTTGTATACAAACTCATGTAAAAAAGTAAATAGTTTTTTTTAAATGTGTTATAAGATTATGTTATAATCTAACCTACGTACAAATCTAGGCAAAAAATGCTTATTTCATATTATATATACCAAATAATGACTTTTTTTATAGTAATACACTAATACATTCACTGTATCGCTAAAACAATTTGATGACCATAAAGTTTATATAATATACGTACAAGTTACAATATACTTGTATTTTTATGTTATGTCTTTTACATTGTGCCTTTGGAATTATTTGATTATTAATATATCTATCGTCGCATTGGACATAACCTAACCTAACCTTGCACCGTATTTCGTGAATTTGTTTCATTCAATATAATACCTGTTATAATTTTGATATTTGGTGTTAAATTTGAAATCAAATACCGAAGTAGGATATTGTTGGTTTAGTCGGGACCTCCTTAGTCAATAAATATTATTTATTAGGGGCATCTAGGCCCCAACCCTCGTATCACTAAACTATTATGGCACATTAATATATTATTATGTTAGTTATAGCGTTCAAAATCTGAAATTAAATGTAACTAAGCATAATAAAATGTTGATAATATTACTATTTGATAATTTTTAGGATGATCACAATTCAATAAATAATAAACTGCAATCTTCTACCTATTCAATAAACGGTAAGAAAAAAATTTCACCGGGAGTGTAATTTAATAGAGTACTTATAGCGCAAGGATATTTATTATGGACTGATATGACTGAAATGCCCTTCGATAAAAAGTTTTTTTTAAAACTGCGTGTATAATACATGGACAAATCATTTGCGAATGACTTTTAAATATTTATTTATAAAAAAAGAACGTTATTTAATTAACGGTTTGTTATTGAAATAAAAAAACTTAAATTTGTTATCGCATTATTTTTTGTTTATTTTACATTTATACACTATTTTGTATATATCCTCTATAGTCTATGGAGATATTATAATATAAGGTTTATTCTATTATGTAGGAGGACAGGAGGTACTATACGTACCTACGAGGCTACAACGCATCCAATATTTTACTTTGGGAAGGGAGTTCTGAATACCACAGTTCACAGACCAAAAGTTTTTTTGAAAAGTACTGCAGTTATAGGCGTGATTTATTATTTAATGTTTATAGTCAGGAGAGTAAAAGATAAATGCGTGCACTGAGAAATCTATTTTTGATAGTTAAAATTGTTTAATGGTTGTAAAACCAGTAACTTTAATGTGTATTGTCTTCCTGTCAAAAATATTAATGGCACACTACTTTAAAGACGTTATAATATCATTCGATCACCTATATAAAACAAAAACATATTTTCATTAAAATGTATAATATATACTAGGTAGGTAGGTATATTTTATGTACTTTTTTAATTATAAAATATTAATATTATTTAATATTTTTTTTTTTATATTATTATTTAATACACAAACTCGGTTAATTAATGATAATAACAATAACTTCTAAATTAACATATTACGGGTAGGAAGTTAGGTACATTGATAAAACGCATGTTCCAGAACTTAGTTCTACTCAAAATAAATCTCTGATTTAAATTTTGCTGTTTTACGAGCTGTAACTACTTCTAAATTTTTGTACTATGTATATATAGTAATACTATTATAATTGTATGACATTTCTAAGACACAATGGATATTGCAGGATATCATAACCTAACTTTACTCGAAGTGCTACCATATAGTACCTATATATATTATGTATATCTGCTGATGCAGTTGGCGTAAGTACAATACGGTAATATAGTTACGCCCAATATGTAAATTTCCGGTCGTGTGGTAATTATTATTTTTAATCACGATAATAATCTAAATACGCCAACCCCGAAGTTAGATTACATCACATTCAGTGATCCCAAAAGTCGATTTCGATTGTCTTTCCGTGTTTGATTTGAAGTATAAGCCTATATAAAAGCAGTTGCTTGCTGCGCGAGTATTGTCCAACAGAGTCACCTATCCTATTGTTTTCTATCTAAAGAAAAAAAAAACAAATCTCGAAATCCTTGACATAATTTAATTACAAAAGTAATAAATCCATAGCACAGGGATATCAATATGGTAACAATATAATGTGTTCTAGTATATAATAGTTGTATAATTGGTAATTACAATGTTTGATTCATATGTAGATATATGTGATATTTTATACACATATTTATCTTTAAAAATTGGTGAACAGTTAAATAAGCAATGCAGACTACAGAGAAACTAAAACTATTTATGTTTTAACCATTTAGCTTGGGTATAAGTGAACTTTCGGGAACTTGCATGAAGTAACAAGATGAGGAAGGAAAGATGCGTAAATCTGGACACCAAAATCGTATTTCAAGCTGGAAATTATTTGAACATTTAAAAAAACACTTACTTGGTAAATCACTACATAATTTTAAATTAAATTGGTCACGGTGGCAGGTCCCACTTAACGTTTACCTACGTCAATTGATACGTTTATACTATATAGTGTATTAATATTATATTATATTATTATCCACGTAATCACGTTAGTGGTATTAGTTTAGGAATTATAAGATTGATACCATATACAGTAGTTGTGCGTATCACAATGTTTGTTAAATACCTAACCACTTTGCTCTATACAGAGTGAATATCTTATTACAAAACAATGTACGTGTTGTTCTTTAATGATTACGGATCAATAAAATTATCAAAAAGGTATGGATGTTAAAAAAAACATAAAAATACGTCTTCATTTCTATTTAACTGCAAATTTGTAAAAAGTAGTTTTCAAATTTTGACTCAGTTTTAACATCTACCAAATAAAAATTACTTTTTTTTAAATAGTAAATAACAACATTTTTTAATGGTTTTCTTTAAGAATAGGTACTTATAGAAGATTTTTATTTGAACATTTTGTTGGTTGAATCGGATTCAATAATAATTCTGCAATAATAATAATATATTGGTTTACTACTCCAATAAATACGGGTCTCTAAAGCTTATGATAGTTGTAATTTTAATTACAATAAATAATAACAAATAATAACAATTCAACTTCTATGTTATAATATACAGGGTGATTCACCAAGAATGCTCGCCAAATTTTTCTTCAATAATGCAGTTTTTCAAAATCTAATTTTTGGAATTTTTAAATTCACTTACAAGTAAATGATTGAACATATTTTCAAACTTTTGAGAATTATTGTACTACTTAAGAATTGTTCTGTGGAGATGCAAACGTTTAGAACGCTTAATTGATTGAAATGTAATTTAATTATGGTGTTTCAAGTAGATATAATTATAAACAAATTATGTAACAAAATAATAACAATGTTAATAGCCAACATTTTTCATCGTGGTGAGCACTACTGATACCGCGCCAATAGTGGCCAGCTGTAGGTCAGGTTAGTGGCTGAATAGTGACAGCTTACAAGGAACAACTTTATTATATTATTCTGTGGTGTCAGACGATGTATCGAACATGCCGTCGTTCGTTGACAACTTGCTGCTGACGTCCGACGTGGACTGACAGCACGAGATGGCCACACCGTCCACCAACATCCCGCATATACTACCTGGCCACGGTGCACGTGGGGAGCAACCGGCCGTACTGCGATCAGTGGGCCACGGCGCCGGCCACCTCGTCTATTGAGCTACAATATTCACTCAAATTCGAGGATAAAAGCTTCCAAGATCGAGTATCAAGCGCTTGGCGGTAGTTTCCTGTCCATATCAGACAACGCGCGATGAACGCTGCTGGCCACCGTGTCCGCGGCCGCAAATCGAGGAACTGGACAACGACATCAACTGTCCGTATGAAATAACGGGCGTATATGATCACACGGATCACGCGACAGCCCGTGTAGCGCTACCAAAACGTTGCGCCAGCCGATCCAGCTATGGCCCAACATTTACGGGCAGCTTGCAGGTGGCCCGGATACTGTTTTCCGACGGCAAGCTCTCTGCTTGCTGATAGTGTACGCCGTCGGTGACCTAGACCGCGTGGTACTGCTACGACTAACGTTACTCCTCGACGATCCGATCGTCACGTTCAAAACGTTTTATTTAAGCTACATATAGGTAACTCGGGTACTGCACGATGAACCAGGGATGATCTGAAGACGACCGGCAGAGTGGAGGCCTGTCGTTCGTCAACACATTTATGCTAGTTTACTAATCACGAACTGTTCCGTCAAAACTCGGACAGCGAGCGTGGATCAGGAGATATTACATATTCGCGGTGTACACGCGTTGCTGGACGCTGCAGGTGATTGGTGAGTCGCGCACGACGCTGATGTCCCAAACAGTTGCGTGGTCGGCAGATGGGTTATGGGTACGACCGAGCGTAGTATGCTAGAACGCATTAGAGCATCCGGGCATGGGGCCAAAATTATTTCGCACACCGGAACTCAGTGTACATTCAACGTGTCCAACGTGTCCGCCTTCCGTAATACAGGGCCTCTTCTAATGCCTTTGCCGAGGAGTAAAAAGTCTGCAAGAACAGGGCTGTTCGACCACAAGCACAGCCGAGACCGCGCGCACCTCACGTTCACGTTCTGCACCATTTACCGAATCTAGTCGGAATGTCACCCGAGCAAGATAGGCTTGATCGACCACCTGTTGAGCTTGGCATACTGGCATCGACGACTCCTGCGGCGGACGCCGGCACGAAATGATGAGGTCAGCTCCGACGTCCGCGGTGACCGTCCTTGTCAGCACATGTTTAGTGTTTACTTCTTATCTTCTTTAACCGATTTTGGTGTGTGGCAGCAGTCCGTTTGTTATTATTGTTATTGTTTTTTTAAGGTACTCTTTTTGCTTACCGTTCTGTTTAGTAGGTATTTATTTCAACATAATAATATGTAGGAGGATCATAGTTAATAATTTCTTGCGTACATCTGATATTCTGATTAGTGGAACACACACTTAACATATTGAATGTTTTTGGCAATCGGCTAAATAACTACATATTTTATTATTGTATGATGAAATTAAAAATAATTAAGTAAGTTTGTTTGCAAATATGTTTTCTATGTGTGTGTGTGTTTCATTAAATTGTCCATTTAAGTTTATAAAAATTTATGAAATTGGATAAGAAAGTAATTTTAAAATAAAATTATCTAGCTCTAGTAATTTATATGTATTCAATTATTTTATTAAAAACGTATTATTAAGCTTACTAACAATTAGAGAGTCGCAATTGATAATAAGTAAACCAAAATTATTTCCAGAATCAATTACGTAACTATAGTTTTTGTTAATTAGTTAGTACTAAGATAATAAAGAAGATGTAAAGAGATATGAAAGAAAAGAAAGAAAGGTACATACAGGTACTCAAAATGGTTCAATATATTTCGAGGCATACCTCTATATTTTTTTGTCAATCACATAGTTTGCTATGTTTTAAACATTAATGTATAAAAATATAAATTATAATGTTATTTTTTAATACAATTTCAAGAAAATATATACATATTATGTTTAGGGACCTATTATTAAATATTCGAAGTGGGAAATATTTTTAAAACATCGGTTTAATATTTTTTACAGAATATGTCAAAAGCTGCAGTAGAACATTTATTCAATAACCATATAACGCACAAAGTTAAAAAAAAAAAGTGTATACCCAGGGTAATTTATAATTACCGTGGTAGTCCAAGGGACTATTCTACTTCAAATAGTATCGCTCCCAATTTAAAAATTGAAATTGCTCTTATGGTTGTACAGTAATGAAATTTCCAAAACATAATTGACATATTATTAGGATAAGGTGTACAATAAAATGCACTCGACCTTGTTACCAAGCAAACCGTGATTTATTATATGAGCACCTATTGTCTGACGCTTACCAGTCAACGTCATTGATCCTTTGATATCAAATAGCAAACACATTGTCTTAAAATTTAAAAACTAAACACTACTCTCAATATCATGATACTTATATGGTTAACCTTATAACGAAAATAAATGTTGGGTTGAATTTGAAAGGTATAGTACTTACATAATATTCTGTATACTAAAATATAAAATATGTATAGCCGAACAGGTAGGATGCATTTTAAAGTAATTGGACGTGTACCTATATTACTATATAACTATTAACTACTATATATATGATCCTGTTCGTATAAAAGCTATAAAGTATAACTAATAATTATAGTATAACTATAACTAGAAATGTAAAATATAACTACCGAACAAGAATAAGGATAGTTTTTTTAGAACATTTTAATCTTACAATTAATGTTTGATCAAATACCTACCTACTCAAATAACTACCAAGAGATAGGTAGGTACCTACTTAGTTTACAATACATTCATATTACTATAGGTATGCTAGTAATTTATTTATTTATTCTAAAGTTGTAGTTGGGACCAAATATTTGCGTTGAAATATTAATTAAAAAGAAAGTTTCACACTTCATAATTTATTATTATTTTATACCGAGAACCAGTCCGTTCTAAATATGGACAAATTACTATTGAGCTACACACATATAGAAATGGGATAGTTGTTTTAACTAGTTGAAGTTAACTGCATTTGCCAGTTAAATTATTTGCAATGAAACACTTATCTAAATATAGTATCTTTTATATTTGAAGGTATTGAAATAACTCATTAGAATTACTTTTTTGAAAATCGATGTTATTTAGCTTAATGGTTTTAGAGGGTTTAATTTACTACAACTTTGGGTCATTATTTGAATTATTTTAATAGTGAAAATAAATATCTACAAAGGTTGTTACAATTGTATAGTTATTTAGTTGATTTGACTAATTATTTAAATTTCAAGTTATTTTTATTACGAACGTGTACAATGTATACATTGATATATATTATTATAATAAGTACACTTGCTTCCGACGGCGCGGATAGGTTTGTTGTACCGTTAAATAGACCTTTATATTTTATATTAGATACTGCAACTAGTGCAACTCTGCTTAGATAAATGTCATATTTCAAAACCAAGTACAATATGAAAATATTTTTGAAAATCTAACAACTGATTGAATACATTAAAGGAAATAATTAAAATTAACTTGATTTATAGTAGGTACTTACATAAATTTTGATATGGGTACTTCAAAAAAGTAATTAAATATTATGCAGTCAGATTGAAAAAATCAATTTTGAGATTATGTTATGGACCAGTCCTGTAAAAAATAATAATTTATTAACTGAATGAATATTTGTGTAGGTACCTACTCATCAGCAATGATGCCATAACCATCAGTGTGTGTGTGCCATACACCCATACTCTTATGTAGTGTAAATATTGATTTACCGTATGTATGTTTCTATAGGCGCAATTTAAGTTTTTGACTTGGAAGGGCTTTATATATTCAAATGAAACAGACTAGTGGTGGGGGGAGGCTGTTAAAATACCTTTAAAATATATTACTTTACGTAATATAATGCAACATAATTATATATTCATCATCATTTTTTTTCACCCACTTTCGTACATCGAATAAACATTAAAATAATACATATACCTATTACTAAAATGAAAAATATTTTCATAATAAATTCCAACATATAAGTGGGTACCTATAATTGATAATAATTTTAACCATGTATTTGAAATTGCAAAATTTATAAAATAAAAACATTATGCTATTGAGTATCGATTATATTCTAAATACATTTAATGTTATCACTTATCAGTAATATATATTGTAATTAATAATTTGTAATACTAATATTAAAACTAAATTATGTTCTGTAGGTGGACCCGAATTCAGAAATTAGAAAATAATTTCTTCAAACTACGCTGACTGAATCATGTATAGATTAGATAACTAATGAAGGATTTAATACCAAGCCCCTCCAAGTCCCCTTATATTGTGTCTACACAGTACACTCATTATATGAGTAAATATTGTATGTATTTTTTTTAGTGTAGGTACTTATTATATAATCACAGCTCAGTCAGCTCATAATAACACAACATTGCGTTAAAAATGATTTACTATTTTTTACTATGGTAAGTTATGTTTCAACTATTTTAATCACGTATTTTAAATTTGATACACTCCAATGATTGGATTTCAAATTTTGAAGTATCTTATATTTAAATGGGTATCAACAGTTGACCTCTAATAGTCTTCAATTGTCAATTGACTACTATATTTGTATATTATATAGTAGTAGTTGGTATTCAGGGAACATCCGAACACTCTTAGAATTTATGCACCATTCAACACTCTTCAACATTTTAAATGTTTATAAATCATAGGCTATACTATATTAATTTAGTCATCAAGTTTTTTTTCAGAATTTAATTTTTCTTTGTATCATAGTTACATAATCGAAGGTAACCGTTTAGGGGGAATATTATTTTGTTATAAAAGAAAATAATACATACAAAGTTGTATAGCCCGGTATAGGTCCATAGACAATATAATTCAAGACTGCAAATGGTTCATGTATAATATTATATGAAATATGATTAATTATTTTATACTAAGGTCGTGTCCGCCGACGTTTGAATGAGAATTTTTTGTACACACACCATAATGCTGTGTATTTGTTATTTGCCAAAGTTCTGCATCGTTGAGCATTTGTCAGCGACTGGTTCCTACAGTGAAGCAGATAGCAATGCATGCACCCACGGCCACGACTTGTGATTTCAATAAATAAATAGCATCTGTCCAATGTCCATACTCCGCTCAGTTGATAATAATAGTTAAAATATTATATCTATAGGATTCAACAAGTGTTTACTATTTGTGTTCATCGCGTCTGTACAGTGCCCGAAAACTCTTTCGTAAAGTTATTTTTTATGTACAATGTAAACAATATTTAATCAGAATGTATATTTTACAAAACGCATGACGTCATTTCACATAATAGACTTCTGTCCTATGTATTAGTGTACGATACTGTTGAAACATTTACATGTTATTGACTGTGCGATCTCTACCCTTAGGAGTTGATGTATTGTATTTTGAGAAAGAAAAGTGGTAGGTGCCCCCTATGACCTCAAACAGTAATTTTTTAGGTATGTAGGAGAGAATAGAGAAAGCATTACTGTTTAAAACCTACAACCATTATAATTTGTCAATTTAGAGGCATGAACATCTATAAATATCTGCCAATGACATATTTTTATAGATGGGGGCTGAACTTCCACCGACTTAACATTACAAAAATATAATACTGCTTAGGGAAAAGGCTTATATTTAACTTATATTCGTGCAGATTTTCGTAAAAATATGACTCGCCCATATAATTATTACAGATTTTAAAATATTTTAATTTTTTAATTTGTACACGTGGGTACCTATAATTTACTACAAACAATATAATTGAGAACCTAATAGATATTAGATAGTAATTATAAATACAGGCATACAGCTAATATATATGTGATATCCCTGTGTGTAAGTAAGACATTTTCATTGTTTTACTCAGGTAAGTATCCTATATATATCTACTAATATATTAATGTATAAAACAATGAAATATATTGAATCTATTAGTTTTAAAAAACATAACCAATAACCATTACCTAAAAACGAAATTGGTTTATAATTTAAATATTACTAAGCACTGTCCCCAGTTAGAACGAATTGTTTTCGCTTAAAATTTGTGCTATTAGTTCATTATATACTGATTGTCGAATGATCTATTTATCCAAAAAGACTTTTAAACATTCGTCATTGGTTTTACTTTTGAACGACTTTTAATTTCTTTATTTTAATTTATGTTTAACTGTTAATTATAAATCAGTGTATTGTATTTTATTACATTTCTGAAATGTTAAAATTTTGAATTCAAATCACTTAAGAATATATTTAAATAAATCTATATTAAAATGTAAAAAATGGAATTCGCTTAGAAAAGTATGATGTTGTAATAGTTACCTTAGTCGTAAAGATGAACAGACGGATATGTATCTTTGGTAGCCGTGTACAACGCCGTGGTATCATAATTTTACTATCATAAAAATCTTACTTTATAATTTATCATATTTTATCATTATAAATATAAAATTATTTATTACATAAATTCGTCGGCGATTGCCAAGATTACAGTTCCACTTTTTAAATCTCTATTTAAAAACCACTATCTAAACGTCTGTACATCGAACAGACGTCAAAAACTTGAATACGAGGTTCATGATTGTAATTTGTATATCTATAGTACTTCGAAAAATAAATACTTAACATTACCAACCAATAGCCTTTACGACTGTGAAATAGTAACATCTATTTTTGTTTTATTATACGCACAGGTACACTTGCACTTTTGATTATCCATTTTAAGTTTCTCAAGGTGGACTCGAACAGAGTCGTTCACACAACAGAACAATAATATTATACGAGTGCATCGCAGATACAAGACGAAAAACAAGCTCTCCTAACAATAATGATTACAAATCCGAAAGGCAAGTATGTATATAAAACTTGGCAACATTATTTACGTTTTACTGCAGCTACAAACAAACGATAATGATGTCATATATGCACAGGCATTCGCCAAATCCATTAAAAAGCGACAGACCGAGGACGCAATAGTAATAATGTAATAGATCTGAAATGGTGGTACCGACGAGGGATTTGGTTATTATAGTGATGTCGTTAAGCATACAATAACAATTTATTGTACACTAAACATGCGAGTGATGTTTGGAGCTTACACAATTCGAGATGAGATGTACACTTAGTTTGGGATATGTTTAAATTAAAGGTATGTACCTACCGTTATCGGAAAGCTGCTAGTTTCTCAGGTACACGATTCGTCTGAAATATTTTACGAGTACTTGATTCGAAATAATTGCAGCACAACATCCAGTGGTGGCAATCACGGCCTAGCGTAAAACGCTCTTCACGCGAAACAAGTATCCCACGGAAACATTGAAAACGTAAACGGAATTATGAAATACCTTTAAAATTGTGGAGATGTCGTGAATAGGCATGTTTATTATCACCCTAACTTGGGTCTTTGCATAAACAGTTCACACCTGTACATGCTAAGGAAAGTAGTCACGGGCTCTTAGTCAGAACCTATTAAGTTGAGCCGAATAGGTTCCCGTTTACATTTTCCATCTCAATTGAACAGGCTTAGGATTGTCAACTTTAAAGTAGGCTTGGTTAAAAATGCGCGGTTATGAATGTTAAAAAATATAATATAATATAATCAACTTAAAATGGACAAATTTGGAAATCAACCAGTCATCACTTAGGTATACAAAATAAAAAAAATTGTAATTTTTAAATCGTTGATTTGCAAATTTGAAGCAAACTTCTTTCAAATATTCAATTCATGTAAGTTTCTCATCAATGTACTCAGTCATACAGTTTTTCAAGTATTGGTTATTCCTTTCCTATTTGTTAGAAAATTTCCTTGCATTATTACTTCGAAATTTAATAACACCAATACATTAACATTGTATTGCCATTTTATTGTATATACTATAGAGTGTAGCCACATTTATATTTTGTACGATCTAATTTATTTGCTGTATCAATTAAACGTATTACATACATATGATTTACTATTGCAAAATAATGGTTAAAAATGTAAATTTAAAACTATTTGACCTGAAAACAAATGCAAACCAATTCGGTCCAACTTCGCAAAACACCTTTTTTAGATGGAAATCAATTCGGATACTCCACCCTTAACTCTTAAGGGTCATCTAACGTTGTATGTATTATCCTGTTAATAAACGATGCTACATGATGAGAGTCAAGCAATATGCTAACAGTTCTGTCCTCTTATAGTGATGCCACAAAAAAATGGCCTGATTATTGTTATAATTATGTAGTAATGTGTGCAAAATTATTGTGCTCACCTATACTTAACAATTTATTACAACGTTAAATAGATTTAAAACAAAAAACAAACATTCTTTATTTTGAAGAACATTTAGTATACAAAAACAAAAGATGAACAGTTATTTTCCGAAAATATCACAATAAAATTGGTTTAAAGCAATAATAACATATGCTATATGGCCTATAGTATAGGCGATGTTTATTTGAAGAATGCTTTTGAAAAAATATTGTTATTTTTCCATTTACAAAGCAAGCTTATACGATAAGATGACAGACAATTTCCTTATTATAATAGTAAATTATGTTTCTTTAACTATGAAATCAAAAAAACAGAAAGTAAAAAGTTTACCAAAAAAAAAAACAATTAAGTAAATTTTGTAGGTACCGATAAATATTTTAATGGTAATGTGTGGTTTACGACGTTTGTATATGTTACTTACTTATATTATTATACAATGTAAAACTGATTGTAATAAAGTAAAACTGTACTTACAATACCGTCTAAAAATTAAGTAGCTTTTAAAAATCGAAAAAATTTTTACACATGTATATACATATATTATTAAAATAAAATATATACACGGGTATATTAGTCAAATTCGGATAGTTTGTTGCTGTCGCGTGTTATATAATATATGTATTGATATCATCCACTTATAGATACACACACGCTTACAAACACACAATCACACACACACACACACACAAATATATATATTTCTTAAATATTAAATTATATATAAAAAAAAAAATCGAAATTCACCATTCTTCCCCTTCCCCCATACGGAAACAATAAATAATAATAATGGGTAATTTATTTTTTTATTTTTAGTGCGTGGACGATGCCTTCTTCATCACGACCTCCACTGCAGAAACGAAGTCGTTTCTGACGGCAAGCGCACATACAGAGAAGGCGGTGCGGTATCCCCGGTATAGTAAAAGTATGGTAATATTATAGTCGTGGTCGTGGTCGTGGTGGTGGATAGTAAGTTAAGTGGGCAATGTGGCATCTCCGTTGTTTGCCTTTTTGCCGTTCGTACTGTCGCCACCTCCGGCGCTGTCTTTCACATCATCCTTGAATCGGTCCTCCAGAAATCCCGGTTCCTATAAGATAAAACATACGACGTTAGTGAATTTAAAGTAATATTGTGTAGCTGATCGATTTTATATCGTTATTTCTGCGTACCACTGAATTATATCCGCAAATTTCGTATACCAAAAATTAGAGAAATTTGCAAAAGTACATGCTGAAATGCAGCTTGCATGAAGTGCATTAAAAATAATAATAGTAACAATTTAAAAATACGAAACACGAAAGTGCTACAAAATTAAAACAAAAAATTGACAAAGTATGTTTAGCATTATATTATCTTATGTGCGTATGTATTATTTACATTAAGCCAAATATTAATATTATACAATGAAATTAGTGTTATAAAACTAAAAATTCCGCACATGCCATAACGTTATAACTAGGGTCCGGGTTTTATGCTAAACATTTCAAAATATGATGCTTATAAACTGTAAAAAAACCTACAAATATTCAATCTTAAAAATGAACGTACAAATATTTCGATTTAATGCGCAAATTAAAATAATTAACAGAAAAATAAACATGAAAAACGGCACGGAACTTGAAAGTTTAACTGAGTGTGTAATAAATTATTGTATGTAGGTACAAATAATGAGACCAATCAAAAACTATTTTCAAACAAAATCATAATTAAAAACCCGTCAATTATAGATAACAATACAGTATACCTTAGGGTCAAGTGTAATGGTTAATGAGTATTGAGTATATTCCTGTAATGGAAGTGTTAAATTTGAATTTATACGAAAAACGATTCTGCATGGTTACCAAACAGCTATTTTAATAAACAATAATACATTTCCCTATACTTAAAAAAAATAATTTATGTATCATTTTCTCTTTTTCATTCCCGTCAAACTGCATAGGTATACTCAATGAAGTTGGGGAAAAACATAAAAATCCGAACTCTAGTTATAACTATATTATTATCAAGAACACACACCGTATTAGTAGATCTGATGCCCGTGCTATCGAAGACCGTATCCTTTAAAAACAAAACACAACAATGATATCATACGATTTCATATGAGTAAGTAGTGTGGTGCACTGTCAAAATAAAAATAGTATCCCAAGTTCAGCGATCAGTTTATTTTAGTAAATATACTAACGTAGGAGCATATTTTACTGTATGATTGTACAAATATCTTTAATTCTATTCAATATACATATTACATAATATAGTCCATAACTCTAATTTTCAAACGAAAAATTGAATTGAAAAAATTAAGGTCAGGAGTTGACAATGCACCTATCGCATATACCTCATGAATGCAATAATATTATTATATGTCAACTCTAATTAACTACCCTACGGACCGCATAATAAGCTCTTTCTGCTACTGGAACCTATCTATACCTTGGTATAGCGAAGATGTTAAGTCTTAGACGCCAAGTCCTTAACTCCTAATTTACATATTATATCATTAAATAAAATAATATATATTATTTTTTTTCCGTCTAACCGACAGAAGAAGAGACTCAATGTGAACAATACGAGTACTACTCCTCTGCAGCCATAGTTTATTATTATTTACAATACACTGATATCTGTATTATATTATATAAACGCATTAATCAAGTGACACATTTTTCGAGAGCAAAAAAAACCTTGTGCAGTAAACCTGTACATAAAAAAAAAAAAAAACTAAAACGCTTGACCGATTAAAATATAATAAGATAGTTATTAATACAAGGGTAATACATATATATTATTGATAATGACTCGTGTAATATGTTTGTTATAACACGGATAATTGCAACTTGCAGCTAAAAATGGCTTCCCCCTCGCATTCAGCGACAATATACGAGTTTCATAAGACTGCACGTGCACGTCGTCCCCCCTCTACACCTTCTCTAGAATAAAAGTTGGCAAGCTTTCGAAGACATGTTTTACTGCCACATTAGGTTTGGTTATAGTTTTATACGACACAATACTTGACACTAAATAGTCATTCGTGATGTTGACACCACCTCCACTCGATCTATCAATTAAATAATATTAAATGTACAAAAAAATAATCCCAAACAACACACACACCTTCATTTTACAATGTAACTGAGTAACTTTGCATTTCTTTTTCCGAGAAATTACATTCGTTCCTAATGATTTTTACCTAAAATCCACAATTTTAGAGTTCATAATGTATCAAAGTCTAACCTCCTCCAAAATAGCAGTGTTTTTCGATTCTTCAAGATTTAATTAAATAGTGAGCATCGATCATTATTTACTATACATATTAGCACATAATGCAAATATAGGATTTATTAAAATTTATTATCTTTAGTTATACTTTTTTTCGTGATATTTGGGGGGAGGGGCAGTACTCCTGGACCACCCCTTAAATACGACACTGAAAATAATTAAGTCAGTAAATATTGTTTACACAATGCGCGTATTCCCTAACCTAAATAATACTCTCTGCGAAAAGGCTGGTTGGACAAAACTGTGTACTTTCTCATTTTTGTTTCGGTAAGAACAAGATTAGCAGAATGAACTACCTTAATTGTATGTACATTTTAATTGGTGGTTGAATGAGTGTTTGTAGTGTCAAAAGTTTGTCCTGAACGGGATAACGCACGGAGGCACTGTTTAGTACCATAAATACCAATATTGTAATGTAATGGAAAATATAGTTAGTTTTTTTTTGCAAAATGTATGACCTATACAAGAGACGTGCCCTGAACTGTATGTACATATTATATACAAATTTTCCAGTTTAATATTGTAGTACAGTTATAATATAATCTAATTTTAAATAAGTGGCAAATTGAGTATTATAATGTAATAATAATCTGATTTTTTTAAATATTACTCGAATACGGCAAAAAAGCTATAGGTACCCATATGTATATAGATTTAACAAGGAAACCAAGGAATAGATAATATTATGATCATACTATACACAATACTTATCAAGAGGACGAAATCGGGTATGTTTTGATTATTTTAAAATAGTAAATTGTTCGCACTTTTTAAAATGCTAATAACTTGTTTTCAAAAATCAAAATATAAAAAGAGAACTCTATGTCATCAACCCGATAATATTCTTACTTCTAAATTTGGTACTAGGTCAATTCACTCTAAAATTAAATATACCAGAATTAAATGAGTTATTCAAAACGTATAATTTGCTATATTATAAGTACGTAGTTGTACTTAGTACGTTTGTAAGACAACGCATGCAGGATGGCGTTCTCTCAAACCAAAATTGATCTGTAAATACTAAATATGTACCGACCCATAAACAAATTTAATCGCTTAATGTTACACATTGTTTTCTATAGAATGTAATCCATTCATGTGTCTACACTCATTATTTTAAAAATATTATTTTTACATGATTTTATGAGTTATTGCAAAACAGAATTTTTACAAAGTTTTTAAATCTATTTTTGATAATTTTATTTGCATAAATTATCAACATTTTGTGAAGTACCAACACTACCAACCTAAGGTGCCACCTGTTCACCGCTTATGGAATAAGTTTAAAATATTTATAAGTTATACCTAATTAGCTACTAGTCAGAAATTAAATTGTTATGTATGAAAATACTCCAAAAACTATTATGTCCCAGAATATGAAATTAAAAGTGTATGTTGCCATACAAAAAAGTAAAAACTTAAAATATGATAAAATACACTTTAATTAATCATAAATCTTATTTTTTAGGCATATTCATTTGTTAAGTATAGATATTAAAGTTAAGTTTAAGTAAGAGTATTAAATATTTTTGATACCAGTGAAAATATATATGTACAATATTAATTATTATTAATCATTGATAGCAGTGTTACTTACAATATTGACATTATTAAAAAATATCAAGTTTTAAATACCTACAAAATGTATTTGTTAATAATAATACCGACCCTTGTTTTCATGTCAAGCAAAAATGTGTAAAATCAAATATATTAATAGACTTACTTTGGAAATAATTAGTTTGTGTCTTTGGTTTTTAAGCAAATTCTAGAAAAAATTATTTAAAAATATCAACACATTTAAATGAATGTTTTAAAAATTGAATTTTGAGAAACGAATACAATATTTTTTATTTTCATGTAATAACTTTTTTTTCCAAATACAATAAACACAGGTATCTAAATGCCTAGATTTATTCGAGATTTTAGCTATCTTGCTAACCGGTGTTTTAATATAGGAAAAAAGATATGGATCAAAATTTCCTTAAAAATCATTTTGGATACTTATTATTCCAGCAATAATTCAAATCAAACTATCAAAGCTATTTTATAAACAAGTAGGATACAAGAGATATTTAAATACAAATTTGCTTAACATTTTACTGACATAAATAAATGATCATATTATAGAGGATAGAGGTAAAATCATTTAAAAAGCATGAGAGTAAAAATTTAAAGAATTTAACTTTAGTCTTTAATAACAAACTTTGATCCACAAATAAATTGAATAAATACTAAGAATCAGGACAATCAGGACTCTTCCAACATGTATAACTCATAGACGCAAGTGCTTCAAGACATCAGTGAACTAGGACTCAGGTAGTCAGGTGTGTATGGTGTCGTCTGAATGCATAAGCCCAACTGGGCCTACCGTATAATCGTTATATATTTATTTGTCATAATATGACAACTAAATCTAAAAACGTGTTCCAATAATTAAGTATATAATATATCAATTACAATATGTTTACCTTTTTAAATGCATATAATGTAATATCAAATTGTGTAAAACAAATGTTTATGTATACAAATAATTTGATATGTTAGGTACTTATTAGTCTTAGAAAAGTATTATTGAAGTATCTATAACAGCATATGCATTCTGAATAGTTGTTATTTTAGATAATTTATCCTTATCTAGTTGCATTAAGTATTAACTGAGCTGAAGTTGGCATTTTTAGGGTTGGCCAAACAGACTGTTTTTGAAACAAAAATACCTATTACATATAAATAAATACTTTTTTTTAAATGTTTCTATGTTTAAGACAATATTTTGTTTTTATGTAAAATTGGTTATTATTGTAAGTATTCAATTTTTACATGATGGTTTGTAGACATACTTTACATATGAAACAGGCATATTGAAGACCGGAGGAATAACTAGCTATATTTTAAAAGAAAAAAAGACAGTAGAAAAAAACGTTTATAATTTGTAAAAGAGCTGGTCAACATTTTAACCCATTTGGTGATTTCAGGATTGACACCATTATGTATTTTGAAGTGACTGAGTCACTTTGGCCTATATGACTTTTGAACGCCAAATTGACATGTAGATCTATTAATTTACGTAAGAAACCGAACTCTAACTATGCCAAACTATTAGTTAAGGACAAGCAAAACTGTAAAAGTATGAAATCGAGGATTGAAATTCATTGTGTGATTTACAAACAAATTTGGTCAACATTTGAAAATAGTATTAGGTATGGTAGTACAAAATATACTCTCTTACAATGTCTAATATGTATTGATGGCATGTGGTATCATACCAGTTCTAATATTCAATGTTTTACCTAATCCATATTTTGTTCAGATAGGTCACCCAAACAGATTTTATTTGTGGGCATGTATTACACTTACATAGTTATGTCTAAACCGATACGATAGTGTACCATAAAGTTATATTGTATGCGTAGATTTTCAGTCAAGAGACATGCAAACATTGACTTTTGACCAATACTCAGTTTATATGTGTTTGGTAGAACAAAACATAAACAAAATGTATTACTTATTCACACAACGGATCCAATAGGTTATTGAAATCGAACAAATTTTAAAGTACATATTATGTATAGGAATATAATATATTGCATACGACTTATAAATGTATGAAACAATATGAGGTTGATTTAGTAAAGGCCCTAACTGTAAACCACAAAAATTTGTATAAGTTACTAGAAAAGAATTACTATCAAGATGTCAATTAAAATATTAAGAATATTTTTAAAACACAAAAATATTAGGTACATTTGGCCAAAAACTTTTAACGCATGTGCACTGTATTAGTAATTATTAATTTTGTATAAACACAAAAACAAACAATGAAATCAAAACAGTTTAACAAAGAAGTTTTTACATTTTTAAGAGTAGAGAAAATCCTGTAATACTGGCAAATTACTGTTTATTATAAGTATCATTAAAAATAATAAAATGATTTAAAATTAGATTATAAAATGTGATTTAATTTACACATGAAAATGTAAACATTAATTTTCAAACAAACATTTGATTAAGTATAGGGATTAAAAAATAATAACAGTTCCAATCTTCGTGTGAATGCCATTTTTTTTTATTCATATGGCAATGTGACATCACGTGTATGCCATGATAAACTCTTATTGTATGCTATTTTTTTTGTTTTTGTTTAAATGACTAACCTGGGGCTTAGGACGATGCGTGTTAACAGCCTCAATGGGAAAGTTGATTTGCTCCATTTTACAACCGTACGCCACCGGTGTGAGTTTTATCAGCGAATGCAATGGCACTTCCAAGTACGGTAACTCTTCTATAAAATAAAAAATACATAAACTCTTAACTGGTCATCTATTTAAGCTATACGGTAGATGGTAAGGTTGTAAAGAAATAAATATCAAAAAGACAATTGCTATACGTATAGAATATCTTATAAACACAAACAACGACTGTTGACTAATTTCAAAATATACAACAAGTCCACAACAATTGTAAAAGAATACAATTGTAGAGACTGACCTGAGTTTTTGTCCAAGAAATACGCCAGCAAACACCGAAACACTGCCTGATGGCTGACCACCAGAACGTTTCCCTGTCTCTCTAGCTCCATAATCACTGGTTCTAGCCGGGCAACCAGGTCTTCATACGATTCACCTCTAGGATAACGGTACGCAAACTTGTCCTTGTCACGGGCTGCGAACTGCTCAGGATACTCACGTTTGATCATAGCGTACGTTTTACCGTCACACACACCCTAAAAAATTAAAATTTAAAAAACAAATGGGCAAATAAACATTCACCTAATGGGATTTTAGACGTCTGAACAATGAGTGATAACATGACACACGTCAATTGTACTACAATGTCTGTGGTACTACTATATCATATTTATTATTCATATAGGTATGTATTTTATTTCTTACGGCGTCAATTTCGTTCAACGATTTCCATCGTTCTTGCGGAGCTTGAACGCCGCTCGCGGTCTGAATGGTCCTGTAGTGCCATGACGTCCACACCCGAAGATTTTTGATATTCTGTTCGTTTATGTAATTGGCCAATGCGATTGCATACTTGACACCGTTAGGTGACAATTGGGAATCTCCGCCGATTTTTCCTTCCTTGTTCCATTCGCTCTCGCCGTGCTACAAAAAGTGAGTAGTCGTTGACGTCAAATGTATAATATATCAATTTCTAGTATTTAGACTCTTGGGAATGCAGGGCAGTAAATGTTCCCAAATTCAACAATAATAAATAGTTTTCAAATGGAGTATCTCAGATTTTTAAATTTCAAGAGAAAAAACTATATTTTTCTGGATAAAATATGCACAATATATTGTGTATTGGCGCACTCACTCTAGTAAGATAAATGGTTCTTGGAATGATATGAATGTTCATTAGATAGTAGACGATCCGCGCCTGTATGTGACCCTCGTGCTTCCGCACCAACACTTTTTCTCCAGTATTGAATATCTTCATGAAGCTCAATTCAGACTCGGTCACCTCGTCTAGTGGTTCGTACCGTTCCTGATAGTGCTCTATTCGCTGCAAAAAGTCCCTGAGGGCCACATCAGCACCCATGCTCTGGTAGTCCGGGCTATTAATCTTCACTTCCTACGAAATAAACCAATATAATAATTACGCCACTGGTTTTCAACCCAATTTCACGAACTAATCCTCACAAAAATGGGTTGCGAGTCAAAAGATTTTGGAGACCACTGCGTTATATAAACAATCAACATGTTATATAATATACACAAGGCAACTATCCTAATTTATATTATAATATACTATTAACTTTACCATTATATTCTGTTCGACTATTTTTGGGTCATCACACACCGATTCGACAAAAAATAACTTGAATCCTCGTTTTTTCACAACGATGTCCAATATCAATTGTCGACGTTCAATAGTCGAGTTCGTGGCATCAAACACCTACAAACCACGGAGTTATATTATGTAATTACATTTCAAGCACAGGTACATAAAACGTATATTTTAAAAACATTTTTATTCTCCCTAACAGGATTAACGCTTATGAAAACATTTTTCTCATCGATTCCTAAGTCAATGTAATAGATTTTTGAAAAATCAATATTTTAAGTTTTCACTTTTTTAATAGAAATACATACATTTTTACCTACATATCTATGAAGCAGAATAGATGTTTCTAGCTTTGACCTTAGATGTATAAAAATCGAATATATAACGATTAATTGATTAGTTATAATTATTATAAGTATTTGAAATGTAGAGCCCAGGCCCCGGAGTGGAGTTGCACAGTAAAATGTTTGTCTACGCTATACTTTAATCTCTTTTAAACATTGAATATAATTAACTATAGTCATTAAAAATTAAATTTGTATACATACAAACTATCAGAAAATGATTCGGATTTGAAATATAAAATGAAGATGAATATGCAGTCATTCAAAAGTTAAAAACGCTTGGCAAGTCAGAGATTGGCATCTAAACTTTCATGATTTTTAATTTTTAGAAATGTACTAACTGTATGCACCTTATAAAAATATGATTAAACCAAAATTGTACTTAAAGGAAGTTATTAAATGCAAGTTAATTTATTGAGAAGATATTATAGATTATAGTAGAATATAATAGGTTGAATATGACTGGTTTGAATTTAAGAGATATTAGAGTCAGTTGGCTTGTTTTATTTATTAAATGTGATAACAAATAGTATAATTTTATTATTTACAATTAATTCCAACAGTTAAGTATTAACAAGCAAGATCAAAACATGACAAATAAGATATGTTATTTACAAAAAAGACAAGAAGAAATGAAATTAATAGTGTACTTAATATGAATATTTTTCGATATCACACCCAAAGCTTGAAGTTTTCAAAATTCAGACTTTTTTCATCTCAATTAATATACTTACCTACTTGATTAAAAATTAAGAAAGTAAAAAATTAAACACTATAACGGTGAAAAAAATGGTTTAATATATGTTTTGAAAACACTTTATATTGTGTAATAACTACAAATTTAAAAAGATATATTTCCAAAAACGTGAGACAATACATTTTAAGAAAAATACCCAAAAAGAATCACCCTGTTTAATAGCATTATAGTGTACTTACAGCGACTTCACCGCCATTGTCCAGCCACGCGCAGACGTCGTCGAGCGCGTCGATGGCGCATTGCGTTCGAATTGCCATCGCTTCGACGTTGTCGGGACGGAAGAACTCATGGCACTTATACGCCGTGGTGGCATGACGCCGGTATTCTCCGAGGTTGAAAACTGAAATATTTTTTGAAGTTCACATGTACGACAGTTATTGACTAACGCTCAAAACCAGATGTATCAAAAACAATGAACATATTCTATAGTATACAGAGTGTAACAGAAATAATTGACTAGGTTATAAGGTAATGCAATAACTTGTTATAATTAATATTTAAAAAAATTGTTATATAATTTAAAAACACAGCATACATTTTTTCATTTTTATTTCTTGAAACCAAAAACAAAAATTTAAAAATTTAATTTAAATTATTTTGAAAAATTACACAATAGCAAATTATTAGTAAACCTAATTATAAGAACAATTATTTTTAAGGTAAAAACATTTATCTAAGTCAAATAATTTATCTTTTAGAATTTTTTTAATATAAATATCGTTCTGGGGTAAATTAATTTAAAACATAATGACTTTTTTCAAAATATTATTTTTAGAAATTTTCTGACATTAGAATATTTCTTAAACTATTTTATATCTATATAATTTTCACAATTTTTGTCGCACGTTTAACAATATTTTTTGTTAGGTCTTCATATTACACCCTGTCTATACTAAACATAACTATTGTTATACTGTCTGTAAACTAACCTTTAGTGTTGATACCGATCCAGTTTAGGTACCGGGAAAGTTTTTTCGAAATGTAAGTTTTCCCTCGCGCCGGCAGTCCGACCATGGCGATAACGTGCGGCGTGTTAACATAGTTTAGGCGTTCACCTAGAAAATTTTAGTAGAAATAAGTATAGCACGTGTTTTTCTACATAATTCTCAAAAATGTGGTTACTGCAATTCTCATTTATTCATGTTCAATTAAATTATCGTATTTACACCAAAAAATGTCATTGAACTAATATGGCAGTTGTACATAATTATATCAATACAAAAAAATATTCTTGTTCTATGTATATCAGACATCAGTATAATTTGTATTTATGTAACAGTTATGTCTAGTGACCACATATTATTACCATATAACATAAATACATATTATAATAATTGTTCATGTAAGACGTACGTATTATATAATTAGGTGATAAGCCATTTAGTAAAATGCGTAATTAAAAAAGATTACTATTATTCCCATTGACAGAATTCGACATAGCAATAAAGAATAAATTTTGTTTAGTTGTGTTATCTTAAAAATGTTTATTAGTTATTAAAATTAAACCATATACCTAAGTAAAATTATTTAAAAAACTATTATTATCATAAACATTTTTATCAATGAGCATATATATGTGATATTAATTATTAAAATACAATTTTGTGTGACTAATTGCCATACAAAATTGTAAGTTTTTAGTTACAAAGTTATCTGTTTACAATTTATAAGATTCTTACAGAAATAAGTTAAATAAATAATTTTTTAATCAACACATACATTATATAACTTTTCTTTCTGTCTACATTTTATAAATTCATAATTTAACAAAACTTCTTCAAACTATCATACAAGTTTTAATATAATAAACTAAGAAATAAAAATAATGTTTATGTTATAACTTATAACTTATAGATGGCTTTAACAACAATGATAACATAGAAACATTATAAAGAGATTACTGATTATAGGTAACAATAAGAAATGTCTACATATCACAACCAATGTATTTGGCTATAACAGTTATATAGGTAAGTTGGTACTAAATCAGCGTATGGCTACTTCACAATTGGGTATCTACCTACTAGATACATAATATTTTATTGTATAAAACAATAGTCATGATTCGTGTATATAATTATATTAATGAAAATAAAAAAGGAAAACAATACACCAATATAATGCAATATCATAAATCATGTTTAGGTAAATAAAAATTAAATTAACAGCTTAAAGGTTTTTTATACTGATTAAATGCATGAATATTAATGCCAAATAACACACAGATAACCAATTTTTTCCGTACCAATAACTTCAATATTTTTGTAGATACTTACATGAATAATAACATATTTTTGTGATAGTCTAAACCTAGTTAGCGGTTTACATTTGAGGTTATATACATAAACTAAACAATGAAAACTTTTCATTTTTTTCGAATCACAGTCTATTTAATACCACGAATTTCTAATCAAAATATCCTCATAAAACGTTTGTTTATTGTGAAGCGTAAACTTAAAATGTACCTATAATCTATATTATATAGTAGGCAGAAGCCAGTGCCTAATAGATAGTAAATATTTTAAAATCAAAAGTTAAAACATAGGTTAAAACTATTAAACGCACATACGAATATGCGGTTTAAAATTATATAAGTACCCAAGAAACCCTATTATTGTTGATATAATTAAAAATACAAATTTATGTTTAAGCCTAATACTGTCAGAAATAAATACTGGTCTTATAATTGTTGTTTCCAATATTAAAACCTATATAACGTTGTATTTTCAAATTTAAAATAAACGTCAAAGTCATGTTATGTTAAGACCCGGGACCAAGGAATTATGTTTCAGAAAATATCGTATTATATTTTATTATGGCATACAATTTAAACGAATTGTACAAACCCATTTAACACAAATACATTGGTTTAAAAATATGTTACTTTAGGTTATTGGTTCATAAATGTTTCAATAATTTTAAAGAAATAATAACATGTTCAGGCTTAAAATTTCAGATAGTTTAAACAGTGTTAAATATTATAATTTATTTATGATCCAACATTTCGTTGTCACGTTTCGAACTAACCATGTCAAGGTGAAATAACAATTAACAATATAGGTAAATTATTGAAAACCAATAAGTACGTTAAAATTAGTTTTTCAAATGCAATATATATTTTAAGAAGTATATTTTATATTTTTGTAATATTAATGTTTGAAAAGATACAATATTTTATAGTGTCTATATAATCATCCAATTTTTATACATAAATACTTCATAAGCCAATCAATTTTCATTGTGCGTCTCATATGATATATTATTAATTTGTATATAACTATTGTAAATGCATATAAATAGTTGCAAAATTTAAAAACTGACGTTGTACACACTAACAGCTCTTATCGACATGGGATTAACAAATAAAAGATAAAAAACAAACGATATTAAAGTGTAAATTAATATATTAGTGATTACTATGTACTGCTAATCGGAATGAATATTTGGTATATTTGAGTATACATTGAGTCTATGTTGATTACATTTATAGTAGACGATAATAATATTGTCAAGTCCACGGAAGTATACTGAATGGATAAGGCCTTAAAATACCGGGCGCGGCGCCTCCTGATAAGTTTATTTCTCATTACGACGAAAAAAAATATGTAATAAAAAATGTGTTTCTTGAAAATCAATCGGTCGGGCGTGAAACACGTCAAAAACACAAGTGCAGCAGTTACAGAGGTTATTTTTTTAAATTTCGTACATTTCGAGGGCATGGCGCAGGTTAAGAAGAGGATAATTTTTTAACGCAAATGATATGATTATAATTACACATTACATACATTTATTATATAAGATGAAAACACGTAGACGAAAACGAAACAGTTATAGTTTTCTCAAGGTCAAAAAGTTTCATGCGTATTTTTTTTGCTTTATGGCCAACTCACCGATCATTATGAACTCTTGTCGCTCAAAAAGCGACAGCCGCCGGGGGAACATAGTTTTAAGAATGACGTTTCGAACTATAACAACAACGACGACGACGCGCGACGAGGAGAACGACTAGTAAACGCGCGAAAAGATTTATTTTGGAAAACGTACAAATCCGGACGCGGTCAATATATCGACGATGACGACGATGTCACGTGTGTCTTAAAGGTATTATTATATACGTCGCGATGAGTATTATTATTTATCTCGCGACGACGACGACGAGCAGGCCCGAGTGCCAGACCGACCGACCGACCGCTAGACAAATGCCGCAGTCCAATGAACGCCGTAGCAATAATACGGCTGTTGTATATGAGTAGCTTAAAGCGAGCGATGCATGTGTAGGAGAGAAAGAAAACCGTACTTACGCGATTATAATAATACCAGATATATATATATAGGTATCTACTACTCGTGATGTGCGTTTGTAGGCAGGTACGCATCGGGGTGGATGGAGGTCGAACAAAATCGTTAAGCCGCCGCCGCCGCCGCCGCCGCCGTCGCCGAGCCGCGTCACGTCGTCGTCGAACACACGCGGCAGCAGGGAGTATATAGGTATTTGTTAGAAAAAAAAATTGCACTGCGTAACGACCAATAATAACACTAAACATACATGCGCTATACACACACATATATCTAAGGCCGATAATCGTATTTTCAGCCCATTGTGTGACGCGCGCGTTGCTTGCGGCAGCGTAACATTTATAAATAGTAGACGGAGGGCTTCAGCGAGCGCGAGACTGAGACGGCGGCTAGGCCTGTCGGTCTATTCTCGCGAGCGCGTCTCCAGCGCGAAGTCGCGGCCGTTCGACCCAATTGCCCCCGACCGGAAGAAACCGGGCGGTGACGCGCGCCAATAACGCATCACCATACGCCGGGTATCAATTCTAAATTATTAATACATCATCATGTGATATGGCGACTGTCAATTTTTGTCCGCGAGCCTCAGATCGGGTATTAACAAAACGGCCTTTTGCAGGGAAATATAAACAACCAAGAGCAAAAAAACAGAGAAGTCGATCTGCTGCAGTAAAGAGTATATAACTAGTATGTAGGTTTCTAGTGCGTACCTCGTCATTGAGTAGTTACAGCAATGGATAACGTGTAATTTAAAATCAGTCATAATTAATAAACCATTGCAAAAAACGATTCTGAATGATACCATCCATGATAGAACTTATACTACTAGATGAGAACTGTGTATAACAATAGCATACGAGCGGCGTAACAACATAATATTATTTATTTATTGATTTATTTATGTTGTATATCAACGGGTATATACCCTTTTACAAATTATATAAAGAAAACATATCAGATAAAAACTAAATAAGTGTAGTAAAACCTAACAAAAACAGATAAAATAATATAAAAATAACTCTGAAATAAAAGTAATAATTAA